GAATCAATAAATAATTATCGATTTTATATTAATTGAAAGAGTCACTAATTTTAATAATTCGATCCATAATTGAATAATTAAATTAATTTATTTTTTTATTCTGTTATGAATTTCGTGTCTTTACCTGTATGCACCGGCAGGTCCGCTGGGATGTCGGGGATCAGCGAACCCAGGTGGTACACCGTATTCAGGTACAGGCGGTGCTCCGTACTCGGGACCAAGGCTTTGGTGAACCGGTGTACCATACTCTTGAGTAAGACCCGTGGCTGGGGCGCCGTATTCAAGTCCAGGATGGCCGCATTTCGGTTCCGGACAGTTGTAACGACAAACTTGGATCACGCATTGGAAGTGAACGTTCATACTATCGGGGAACTTAAACGCTTGGAAGTAGGCGAAGCTGACAACGGATGCACTTGGGCCAAAGTTCTTTATCTTCTGGAACCTAACGCATGAACAAAGAAAATTCAGATTAATGTAATTGTCGAAGTATCTGAATAAAAGTTAACAAATGTTGGTACAATGTTATAATTTATGAGATAATAATTCTTAAGAACAATAATTAAAAATAAATTTATAACGAAAATTAATGTTGCTTACCTGGACATAATCTTCGGCCTGACGACGCAACCGTACTGGTCGACCAGCTGAATGGGTGCCCTCTTTCCATCGTGCGCGACGCAGTTTCTCACCAGCATATCAAACTTGTTCTCATCGTCTTTGATAGCCAACACCATCGTCATGGTCTGTCCGATCTTTACTATACCGGACACTTCGCTTGCCCACGGTCCCTTCCCGACCTGTATCTGCATCCAGCATTGGAGATTGTCGCCGAGGAAATTCGCGGTAACGGCGTGCAGCATGTCCACTTGGAACGGTCTGAACGTCACCGCCTTCTCGTAAAAGTCGTACCAAGTGCATCGCAGTTTCCTCGCCTGATCCCAGACCTCCTGCACGTACGGATCGTACTGCACGATTATGGTGTTCTCCACGTAGCTGCCGGACGGTGTCGGTGCTCCGTAAGCCGCCACGTTGTGGTTCGCCGAGGAGCTCATGCCGCAAGAGTTCAGGAAGATCTCGAAGGTCGCGCTCAGATGACCCGTGCCGGGTTTCAAGTGGACGCAGTGCGGGTCCGAGTAAAAACCTTTGCTGAAGATCATACCGTAGAACGGCCTGTCGAACTCGATGTTCACCCGCATGTGCGTCTTCTCGCATTGCACCTGCAAGTGCTTAATCTGAGGCGTGTCCGGCGACGCCAGCGGCCAATTCTCCTCAGCGCCGTGCGTTGCCGGAGGACCATATTGTGCCGGTGGTCCATAAACCGATCTGTGTTCCAAAGGCAACGCACTGCTGTCCACCAGTGGAGCTTCGCAGTTTACCCTCTGAAACAGAAATGCAAGATCTCATTAACTTCTGTAAACGGTTAACCATTAAAATTTTATTGTAATTTTCGTACGACATTAAACGCTGTTATTATATTAATATTCGCAGCCAACGTGACAGTTTGACTATTTACATTTAATCATTTAAATTATTATTAAATTACAATCATGAATAGTATTAATCATCTTGTACGATATGTATTTACATTGCTGAGTTTATCATAGGTAATTAATTAAACAATGCTGCAAATGGAAGTAATTCATTTTCCTTGTGTGTATATACCTTACAGTTTAATTTAATTTTTAAAAATCCGGAACAATGGTATGAGATTGTAATTGTCAGACAAAGCAGATTCGCTGATCCCTTAAAAGTGACGAGCTTTTAATGATTTATTTAATTGGAATCTGTATATATAATTAAATCCTTTCCATCGCGATAGGAATGTGGTAGCACGTACCACAGACGAGATATGTCGAAAGCGGGTAAAAATAAAAGGAATACCTCGGTAACCGACCAGATAACTCTTAACGGAAATGAATGACGCGTCCCATGACGAACGAGTGCCCTTTTCAAGGCCCTGCACGTATACGGAAAGGCAATATAACCGGCTGCGTTTCGAAACCCCGTTTGCCGTAACTCATAACGGCGTGGCTAACCAAAAATATAGACCCGTAACCGGAAAATGGAGAACACTTTGCGGCATATCTCGCCGCTTATCCGTCTCCTCTTCCTCGCCGTTTCTTTTTCTTTTGTTTTGCGACATCTACGAGCGTCGTCGAAACGCCGCCGGCCCTTCTGGAATTACAATGAATGACAATGAGCTCGATTCGAGCACCTCCGGCTCGTTCCACCGGCCACGTTGGGAAAGAATCGAGTCACATTAGGGATTCCACGAGCGTCGCTCGCCGTTGCAACCTTTCATGGAATGCCAATCGAATACCACGCCGCGGTGCTCGAGATTCCAAGGAACTGTGCCGCGAATCGTCGGGCACGGGCCGACCTTGAAGATCATTAAGATTTAACAGATTTATCTTGATCGATTACCGAAAATGTTCAAAAAATCGTTGTTATATAAAATACATCGTATGATAATACGAAGCAACATATAATAAGACGAACAGCTCAATACTACCGTAAAAATTACTCGAGATACTAAAAATAAAATTTGGTCTATCATTTGCATTATATAACTGATTGTAGTCCAAGTGGTGGAGTTTAGCGAATGTCAGTCACGCATCGAAGCCGACACATAGTGACATCAATTACATAGGTCAGAATTCGAATTAATACGACTAAGTGACTGAATTTGAAAGCAGTCGAATACAATGCCGTTCTGTTATACAGTTCGCGTTCTTCGATTCAAATCGATTACGCGCGCGCACGTACGAGGATGGAGAGAGTTTCTGACCAACGCCCACGGATTTTACATTCCAGGTTAACGCGATTGACATATGCACAGGTGGGACCGTGTTACGCGCCGCAATCAGCTTGTACAATTTCGCACTTCAAAAGTCGCAAGTTCCATCCGCGGCTCGGTGACAAAGTATGAATCGCAACAACGATGTGATCATATTGATTTGTGCAAATGAATAAAATTATATTTCACGATGAAACTCGATGTAATCGTATTTGTTTCAGATTCGTTTATCAAAATAAAAAAATATAATCAATTTTGTAATTTATTCACTGTTTCATAATTCAATTGCTGTGATTGAACCGCTTTTTATGCAACTGTCGGAGCTCCCTTCGTACTTAGGAACGTTAGAAAAAGAATCACGAAAAAGCATTGTGTATAGTCACGGACAAGAGTAACTGTACAACTATGATTCTGGTTCCTGAAGTTACAGGAATTCCTGTTACAAAAGAATTACGAAACCGAGCGACTTTTTCCACCGGCTACTTTATGTCACCGTCGTTGCTGTTATACAAGAAAGGCCATGAATTACATGATAACGCGACAAACGATTCACGATCACGAACGATTCCACGTACCCATTCCTTTTCAACCACAAATCAACCACGATAGGGCAATGACTGATCGCGTGCAATGAAACTAAATTGATGTAGCTCATCCAATCAAGAAACATGAATGTGTTACAACAACGCGTTTTAAATGCATGTACAAATATTTATTAAATACAATTAGCACAGACGTCTTAAATCCCGTGAGACGTTCCACTTATTCAATTATTATATTCAATCGATTCTGGGAATGAGACTATCATTTTATAGAAAGTGAAGACTCACAAGTTACACGTATAATGAAACTCGTCGTTGAAGAATTTTTACATTTACATTCTATGAAGAAAAGTATAACATCGATTGTTTAAACCGACATGGAAAGGATGGAGCAAACGATAGGCGATGTAAATTAACCTGTGGACAATGAGTAATCGTATAGAAGCGATAAACCGGGAAAAAAGCGATTCGCGATCAACAGGAAACGCGTAGTTCGCGCCTGACCGATAGGCGGGTCGCCGTACGCATACCTGTCCGCTTTCTTGTTCTACTTGCACCTGCACCCGATCTGCTCTAAAGACTTTCTGAATAGAAAAGTATCGCGAAACCGGTCGACGCGTGAAACGAAATCGTCTGATCTATCCGATCTGATGCGGCCTGTTCATTGTCGGTTGGACTCGTCGTCAGCTGCAAACTGAACGTGTCCCACTATTTCTAGATATTTCGAAAACGACGAAGTAGATTGCCCGATTCCGTTTCTCTGACACGAATTTTTACGCAAGCTTTACTTCCTTGTAGAAGTTGGAAAGAATTGCCACTGTTTATGCATGTATGCGTGACTATGTGCAAGACTTTTAGAATTTGTTTCAATTATTATAATATAGAATAGCATTGAACGTTACTGAGAGAATACACGATTAAGGAATAGAGGAGTAGTAACGTGAGATAAAAAGCGAGAGTAGAAAATGAATCATCTGCTGATTAAAAAATTCGTGTGGGATTCATAAGACTGCTTTACGGAGTGTCTGCACGACAGGTCACTTTCCACGCACAGCGGCGCGCATTCGATACGTTTCGCTAATGGAAGAAGCCAGACACGAGAATCTCCTTCGTGGCACGAAGGAAGTACGGTAGCCATAGAAAGGTCGAGACTGATTTCACTTTTTCAATTGTCATCCACCGGGAAAGGCCATGGGTTTCGTATCGGGCAGCACACTTTCGCTGAACACTAATGACGAAACGTGCTCACTAATTGGCCGAGCCATCGATTCCGCCCGTATTTAATTAGAACTACTTTACAATGTACACTGATGTACTTGCATCTCTATTTAAATTTGTTTAGCTGATTTCGTATCTGACGATTGCATGTAATTTTTTGTTATAGTAAAGATGTTGATTTCTGGTAAAATAAATGTGTTCTAATTTGCATTTTCAAAGATCCTGATAATTCCATTTTGTCACAGTTTTGTACTTTTTTTAAATGTCGTGCATAAAGAAATACATTTAGGCTTCTTGAATTGAAGTTACGATACAGTATAGACGTATATGAAACATGGTTATCGTAGAAAAACGCGTGTTCCTAGATTGATATAATCAACTGTCAGGGAATTTTCACCACACCATCTGATTTCCTGAAGACGAGCTCGCGATAGTCGTGTTATCGAAGTTTACGCGACATGTAGGTACCGTCGACTCGAGTCGTGTTTCGAACTGACTGACCCGGCCTACTTTTTCGCCACCATATACAGAGAAAGAGACGGCCGATATTACGAGGCGTCGCGTCGCGGTTTCTCTTCGTAAAATCAGCTATCTTATTTTTGATGCACGCCGGAAACACGTGGACCCGCAGAATCGGTGGAACCGTGTTGCTTTCTAAACTCAAGTGAAACTCGACCGATTTCGTAAATAATTCCTATACTTTTCATTTTTTTTTTTTTAACGAACCCATTCTGTTTCTCAATAACCATGTCGGTGTTGTTTCACTTTTGTTCAATGTTGGTACCGGAACAGGTTGTAACTCTACCTATGATGTAATTTCCTGGCACTGTCAACAAGATCGATTGAAAACCTAATGCATTGAATGCCGTAGAGAATAAAAATAGAAAATAATTGCGTGCCACAAAAATTCATGTTAATACCGGATCAAAAATTATGCTAATAAACGCATCAACAGCACACTAATAAATACCTATTGTTCCTTATGTAAGAGTTAATTATCATCACATTTGAGAAAAATTCCAATTACCATAGTATCGTAATATAATCACGTACTGCGTGCATATATTATGTGACGAATTCTTCCCAAACGTAATCAAGCGAACCTAAGTCCGTGTCCGAGTGAAATATGTTACTTACTGGTAAATAAAAAATTCGATATTTCAGCTCGGTTTTCTTCTAGTCGAAATTAAGTGTGCCGGAAAAACAAAGGCGATCCAATTACAGAGACAGGATTAGAATGAAGACGCTTAGCCCTAACCGTGAGAATCAGGTTGAGAACCGTGGCGAGCGTATGCACGCTCTTTTGTTGATGGAAACTCGCAGGGTGGGATTTTAATTAAAGAAGAACACTGCACGCCGGTACTGCTATGCGAAACGACGCCGCATTAAGTGCATAAACGCCTTCACTCTGTGCCGCAACATCTTCTACTCCAACGTTCATACGAATTGTTTCGTGAACGAATTTTCGGACGAATACACTTCCGCTTTTTAAGACAAATTTGCATTTATTCATTATACTTAAAAAGAATTGAAACTCGTTTGAATTTTACAATGTATCGACAATAAGAATGAATTTTTACCAAACGATTTTGAAATTACCTTTAAATCACATAATTATATGATTTTGTCAAAGTCTGGAACTTAATTTACTCTAATATTTTGTAATAAAAAGGAACACTAAAAGTTGCCAGTAAATATTAATTAGGATGTACGTATTTTAAAATATGTTCAAATAAGGATGAAAATTGATACGATTGGTCTAAACGAAACGTGAACTTATTGTTAGATTAACACCTCATGATCAAGTAATAGTGGCATTAAATTGTTTAAGGCGATGAGCTGCAAGAATCACGCGACAGATCTCGAATTACAAGATAGAGTGGGCGGGTCGGTGGAGCAGTAGTGAAAAGCTCGCGGCCGCCGGCAAGATTGCACGTTTCGAACAGCCGCAAGAACAGGTGCTCCTCTCCTATTCATTAATCTCTGTCAATGGCGGTGTGTCAACGATTATGAAAATTGACTGTAAATCACGAGTTTTTATTATCCTTCAATTGCGGTAACATAAAATGCTCAAGAGGGATAATAGTATTTTCTTCCTACTTGAATATTAATTTATTGCGTTCTAGAGTTTGTTACTGAAGGACAACAAAATATTAACTAATTATATTGTTATTAAAATTATGTGTATCGTGGAATATAGGAAATATTTAATTTAAGTTACTTTATCATTTTAATATGATTTATACATGAGAATCTTTAAATTTGTTCCTTGTGAACGTCGATTTCTCATCTAATCTCATTAGCAGAAAAATAAGGATGGACTATCCTATGTTTCATTTCTAAACGGAGTTAAGCCCCCAGTCATAATTTCCGCAGTTATCGCGGCACGAGCTACCGGCAAGGAATGCAATTAAACACGTTAGAACGTAAGATGAATGCCAGTTGGGTGAACCGCGGCTGCTAATTTCCAGAAACCGGGATCTCACCGTTTCTACGATGAATTAGTGGGATAGGTTAGTTTCGTATAGGACCGGTCAGGTCATCAGGCATGCTACCCACGTCTTGCAATTAGCGAAGGGCTGTATTATCATTGAGCAAAGTACGAGAGTGGCACACCACGAATTTTATATCACACATTTTCCTGCTTACTGATACATTTAAGGATTGGGATTCTTTACTTCGTTCGCTTGATTTACTTTAGTTAAGGATTTGCTCCATTCTATAACTCTGGGTTCAAGAAAGACAATGAACTATTGAGTTCGAAGATTGAAAGATCTTGAAAGAAGACCTGTATCACGACAAGACAAGGCGAGACGAGACGAGACCAGGCACGAAGGACAGAACGAGACTTTTCTCAGGAAAGAAAGCTGCCGATGGAAAAAAAGTCAATTCTCGGGTGGAACTCGACTAGAGTCTGACCCGCTATATATCGTCTCGTTCCTCCTGACAGGGGAGATGGACAGAGATAGAGGGATACACGGTGATGAACGAGAAAGGAAGAAAGAGCACCGTCGTCGTGTCTAGAGAGTACACGGTTCGAAAGAGGGCAACGCGTCCGGCGCGATGACCTACTATCTTCGCTTCGGCTGCTCGGCTGTAAGTATAGTTAACGTTAACACCGACTTATACACGGCGTCGCGGCGATGCTCACAGGTACACCGTGTATGTATGTAAGTAGTTACAGTATGCTACCTATTGCAACGTTTTCATTCACTACTTATCGCAGGAAACGAGTAGAAGATTGAACCTGATTGCGAGAAACAAAATTGAGAAGCATATTTTTTATTTTAATTTATCTCCAAAGTCCTTATAAATAACAAAAAGAAGCTTCGATATAAAATGTATTAAAATTGATACCAACAGCGTATTTTATTTTATTATAGTAAATTTTAAAAAATTGACAACAACAGGACCAGAATTCAAGCAAATTGATCGTTATTTATTTTATATCTGTATATCCATATGCATGTGCGAAAATAGTAATAAAAATTTATTAATCACGTTACAGTGCGCATAGTGTAACATTGCTGTTGTTGCAATGTGTAGGTATGAGTTTTATTCAATATTTCACGATTTTTCGCGCTTGGTATAAAGAGAAAAATACGCATCGCCTATGGAATATTGATTGCACATATATTAATAACGATGGAACCTAGGTTCAATATTAATTTTCGTATCATTCTCGATTTTAACAAATGTGAAATTGATTAAAATCATTTATTTGATTTCCTTATTTTCTTATCTATATATTTGACTTCCGAGGTCTATATAAAAGGTATCAATATGTTCGTATCAAATGGATATTAAAGAAGACCTAAAGGGAAACGATACAAAAGGAAAATATGTCCAAGAGCATGTGTAAAAATATTACGTCTGACCACTACGCACTGAATCTCCTTTCTCCATTAAAAGTTACTTTCAGGAAATTTAATAATTGAGTGAAATGTAGTCTTGAACTATTACATATATATATATTTACTGTAATTTAATTCTTCGTGGAAGCAAAATATAAATAAATTTGTAGTAATTTAGTATTTATTGTAAAATTGACTTTAAAGAAGTCGGTGAAAGACTGATACAATTCCTATTAGAAGTGAAACGACGCGTGTACGCTCCGGTACCCTGCTTCGAGATTGCCCAGGGTGGTAACCGTTTCGTTCAGGCGTTTACTCTGAACCGATCAGCAACACAACAGACGACAATATGTAGCACATGGAGGGCCGGCGGCTACGTTGATTCGCCTTAAGCATTAACGTCGCGCGTTGTTTCTTCTCGGCCAGCACGTGCGTTCCGCGAATAGCGGTCCAACACGACGATCGTTTAGGCATCAATGAAAACACGACTATCCCCTTTACCCTCCCGTTCCATCATCGACAGGCACTCGGCATTTTTTAACGGAATATACAAATTTTTAACGGGACGATCGATCCTATCTTGGATACGTCAGAAGGTGATTCTGATGATTTCAAAAGCGTACAGAATATTTGGTTTTAATTTCAATTGATTAGAATATTACTTTTGTTTTCGCAAATAAATTTAAGATCTGTTATACACATAGAATTACATGAATTATATTGCTTGCAATGAATGACTGATTTTTATGGCATTTATGTGGTTAAAGTAATAATTGTATTCGAAGCTACATACTTAAAATCCTTTCCGAAATATGCTGCACAGATTAGAAAGTACAGTTAAAGACTTTGGCGTAAAAATCAGTCATTTGCATTTCAAATCAGATGTGACCTACTAAAAAAATCTATCGTTCGCAGAGAATCTACCGAAGATTGGAAATACTAATCCGTACTAGAAAAAAATCAAGTTTCGACATCAATATGATTATTATAATCTTGTCACACATTGGAACGTTCCCTACACTGAGTTTTCACCTAAAAATTTTATAAATACTATTCTTATGCACAAGTTTTCAATCTTTTCTCCCATTTCTAACTGGGTACATTCAATCACGACCCCGACGATGATGATACGTATGTACGTACAAGGAAACAAAACAGTTCGCGTGTGCTCTACTCGACAATGAGTCAGAAAGAACACAGGCAGGTGCATAAATAGATTCACCTGTTTTACGCAGCGCGGAATAACGGTTGCCATACGAGTGGTCTGTCACTTTAAACGAGGAGAACAGTCACTAACCCGCAAGCTGTAATCTCCACGCTCATTTAACGATGAATCGAACCCTATAATGTGATACTACCAATCACGAATCACTGATTTGCCTGGCTGCGAACCTGTACTTACAGTAAACGAGCGGCCCGTTGTTAGAATTCCGAATTAGTTTTGATAATTGGGAGAACTTGCTACTAATAAGTATAATTTAATTAGATAATGTCCAAAGAAAAAGCGAAAGTGACACTTCGTTAAATTTTACATAACATTTCACTTTAACTTTTGATTTGTATTTGAAAATCCAAATCACAAAGTTCGTCGTTAAACAACTGAAAATTAGACACGCTGATACCCGTAATTCTTCTTCAATTAAAGTTTAATCCTCGATCTCACAAAATAATACGCTCCGATTTTTTCTTCAGTTGCGTGGCATACGAAATCCCAATTATTTGCATTTATGACGCGTTAATTGGATTTCTAAGGCGCGTTGTTGCATTTCTAATCATACACGTGAAAAAAATCGTTGCATGCTTGTTGCTCGTTTAGCCCACTTAAGAGAGAGAAGACAAATTACGCGACGTTCTATCGTTTAATCTCTTAAGCAATCGTAAATTTTACTCACGGCTAAAAGCAAAGGCAGCAACAAGATTAAAGTTGTCTTCCGTATACTCCGCCACGTCCTCTCCATGTCCTCTCTGTAATTAAAAGCAAAAAAAAAACAAATTCGCTATGTATACTTTCCCACAATTGGATGGCCGATTTTTCACCGACCGATCTCCGTCATCGGTGCATCGTCTTGATTTTATATGGGTCACGCGATATTTCACCAGACGATTAGTATTCACTGTACGTGCAGTTCGGTCTGGTTCTTTCGCGAGGGTAGCATTACCGCCACCCAAATAGCACAAATTGGAACGCGGGCGAACGGAATGGATCGGAAATATACCGGATAAAAGAGATTCGTGGCGTTTATCGTCAGTTGGGTGAACAAGTGGCACATTTACTGTCCGGACTTTTACAAAGGATGTTACGCAATGAGCATCTAAACCACACCACCGGAAAGTCGAACTTCTTAATTAAAAGCTTGAAGGGTATGACGCTACAATCAAAGAAAAAGTTCGGACACACTGGCCCCTCGTTTCTCCCCGTGGCTAGGAAAAATTCAATTCGGCGAGATTCAAAGTCTCAGGCTGAAGAGGGGATATCCGTCCGGAATTGTCGAGGAAACGAAGTTTAAAAAGCAGAGTGACAGAGAGAGAAAAAATAGAGGAGAAAAATTAAATCGCGCAATATTGGGACAAAAAGACGAGTTCAAAGGCGGTACACTGGAAAACTTGTACTTTGAGTGGGAAGGGCGATCAAAGAGGGGAAACGTATTAAATTCGTGCGATCGAGATTCACAAAAACTTTGGAGCAAAGAGAACCGAAACGTTAAAAGAGTATCGTCCATATTGACGGACGGAATATAGTAAGGTTGCAAAGGAACCACTTGAGCGTGAATAAACGATACATTGCATATATTATATTAAGAATAGTATAGGGGAATTGCAATGCATAATTAATACCAGGATTTATGTATGTATCACCATTTATCCATATGTAAACTATTGCTAATATATTTTTATTAATACATACATCATTAATGTTTATTCAAATCATAGATCAAGATAAGTACCAAGAATGTACGTATCCCCTACTGACGGTCAAAATTTTTTCTTTAACATCTCTATCGACTACACAGCTCATATTCCTTTAAAAGAATAGTTTCTCGGGAAAGCATAAAGAATAATGTAAAAACGGATGATTGATGGAAGCACCTCTCACGAATTCCTCGTTTCTTCCACAGAAACTATCGTCTCGACGATTCTTCTGATTCTCACGTTTTCGGTCGTCTTGATCCCTATTTCTTTCGCACCCCCCGTTTTCAAGCACGCGTATGGTCACACGGAAAACGAACCCCGAACGAAGTGAACTCGCGCCGGTCAGTTGTACGTCATCGGGCCCGAGCGTGAGCGTGCTTCCCGTAGAGAAGAGAAGGAAAAAAAAAAGAAAGCGGGCTGCGTATCCGTCTGACGCGACTCGGCGGGCCCAGAGGTGGTCACCTTGGCCGACGGGGACTGACTGAAGGTGCGAGCCACGCTCGTCTCGGCCACGAGCCACGTCCCAGTGACCTACTGACGATCTCGATCATTCGTGCCGTACGATCACCCCTTCTACGGACTCCTTCCGCCTTCTGCGTAAGTCCCAAACAGGCCCACCGTGCTCGCCGCTGCCCCCACCAACGTTTACCACGCCGCGCCGCTCTCTGCCACCGTTTTCCGTTCCCTCTTTCTCCGTTCCTTTCCTTCTTCCTCTTCTTTCTTGCTCCGTTTCGCGCACGGTCGCTGCACCCTCTCCTTTTCTCGCTTTACGGTTTTATCTGCACACGCCGGGGAGCACGATGCTGCTCGAGCACAGGTGAAAGATTCCCGGAGCGAGGCGCGAGAGTCATTAAATCGGGAACGGGGAGGAGAGATTTCGGTGCTCGTTGTTATTCCCCGGATAAGACGTTTGACGAGCTCTTTCTTAACACCGAATACCGTGTCGTGGATATTGTAAATAAGCCGAAACGATTGGGCAAGTGAATTGGGACCGGCATGAGTCGAGTTCTTTTTGTAAAATTCAATTTCGGGAGAAAGCTAAATACATAATGAGACGTACACGGTGTGTATTCTTCGAACAGGAGTGTATAAAAAGTAATCAAAATTCCTGTGTAGAATCTTTTCTACTAATTTAGAATATTTGAAGCAATTGAAAATAAGACTGAAAACAATTGGAACGACAGAAGAAATCGTCTTTTGGCGAAACTTCCAAGCGTTTTTACGATCTATTGAATAGACGTATGGAATCTGAATTGGTATCGCGCAGACGAAACGACATTTTTGCGAGGAAACTCATTTACGGTAGCAGAAACACGTAACAAAACAATGAACGACACGGGCAAGCCAGTGTCCGTGACAATATCCCGCCGGCAGCTGCGGCGCCGCGCCGGACGAAAACCGAGAGGAGGAAAATCTCTGAAAAATATTATTTCGGTTGTCTGTCACATAGGTGAAACGGATGCCGATCGTGACTCGAATAACATCACGGGAAACGCCGCGCCGTTTCTGTGCAACGTTCCCGGTTCCCCGCCGGCGAATAAATTACACTGGAGATGTTTCAACAGTACGGACAAAGATGTTGGAACTAGGTTCGATTTCAATAAATCGTGGAGAGAAAAGGTATTCAAAATGGGAGCGTGCATTATTTTCCTCCAAAACGAATCGCGTACGTTGCGCGAACTGTATTTCCCAAACGTGAAATTCAATTTAATTCCGCTCTAATTAAACGTCAGTGAAACGTTCGATTCTGAAAATACGAGAATAATAAATTTATGACGCCGGTAGTGAAAATAGTAAGCAAAATATTAAAGAAGAAATTCAGAATGCGTTATCGTCTTGAATGAAACAAAACGCAGCTGCTGCTCCAGATGATAGGTGCAAATAAGTTTCGAAAATATAACAAGATTTCCAGTTTCATTTGCTACAAGAGCCCACGAATAGATAATTTGCATAATTATCGTGTATGTATTAATTGGTACATATCGGAGGACGTATATCGCGTGTGTTTTAAAACGCTCCACTTTCGCGAGAGATCGTGGAAGTCGATAATTCGCATTCGTACGTACGTACGTATGTTCGTGGTACGTCACGCTTCAATACCCGTGTATCAGTGTATTAATGTCGACGTGGAAATTCAAGATCATCGAAAGAAGCAAATAACGTTGTGCTCATTCTTGCAAGATTACTTAAAACAGTGTTTCTTTTCATTGTTGATTGACATGTTAATGACATTTCAATGTCTTCCAAATGTATGCTAGGTATTATTAAGAAATTCAATTCCAGGTATTCATTCCCTCCGCTGATTGACAAAAACAGATGACAGAGAAAAGTAATTACTCAATGAATTGATGAAAAGTTGTACGTGAAACTTCTTTCCAGTCAACATGAATCATAGAGCCTGAAGAACAAAACGTTACCCTTAACGCGCGTTAGGATACTTTCGTTTTCACTTCCCGAAATCGCGGGGCAGACCTGAATTTGCATAACATCGCGGACGATAAGGACGAGACTAGAAAAGCAACCGACGACAGGTCGACCCAGATTTCTCACCCGCATGATGCTAACTCGACCATCCGGAAGTGGTTTATGGTAGTCGTTATGCGTAGGGATAACACTGAACGGCAGATAGTAAGTACGTGAAAGTGCGAGTGAACGTAATGCAACCAACATTCTAATGAGCTTTAAGTAATAAGTGAAAGAACTGATGGAATCTTTCAGAGAAATAGAGGACGACAGTTTTAGAGCAATGACACTTTACAATAAAAAATTTTAACCAAAAGATCATGTAATATCTAAGATTTTTGCCATTTTCAAATTAAAAACTGTCCACAAATATTTTCTCCATGAAGAATTTACTTACATAACGTACCATAAAACCTCCAAACCACAACGATGTGAATACATTTGACGACCACATAACATAAATAACCAGATGCAGGTCAAGATCCAATAGGATCCGGTAGAAAGATGGCTTATTAGGTGAAAGCGGCCCCAAAAATGAATCTTTCGGCTCGGCACAGTTATAGCCGATCGAAAATCGTGGATCTAAATAGGCTGTATTCTAGAATTCTATTCCTGAATGTTAATCTGATTAGTCACGGGACAGGTCCACCTGTTTCTCCGCGGACTCTCTTCTGTTCTCGATTTTGCAAACACGGACAAGCGTGTCAATCTAAATCCGTTCCGCATTATTACCTGAACATAAGTGCGCTATTAATAATAATTAAAGAATTGTAAATGTAAATGGGACAAGAAGTATATTGAGTTATAGGATTAATGAAAATTCCTGTGGATACAACGTTGCATTATTAACAGTAATCACGATCAACGAATTTAGTAGAATTCCTTAATTGCCTGCAACAATTTCTGTAACAAGGAGACAATTTCGCGAGCTTCCTGCAATTTCATCTGGAGCTTGTCAGACAAACGAGCTAACAATTCGAGAGTTTGTTAGCAAAAACCCGAGGAAACGGCCCGTACTTTTGAATACAATGAATCCGACTTTTCTTCCGCTCCCGAAGAGCACATTTTTCTGCTGTGCGCGCGAGCTGCTTTCCTCCGACTGCCGTAGAAGTAAGTAATTCGCACACCTTAAACCGGAGAATGCATGCGTGTCGAGAATGTGTCGTTTACGTCTCACGTCCTGAATACGGCTCGTAGAGAACGAGGAAAATGACACCTGATGGAATCGAGCTCACGAACAGCAGCCGAATAAGCTGCTCATCCCTGGGATCGTTACGGATTGACAGGCCGCGTATTAAAAACCCGTCGGACCGAGTCGAGCATGTCTGCGCGGTGACCAAGGGACCGGGTGCGTAATCGTTAACCGGAGAAACCGCGTTGCACAATTATTCCACGAAACTGCGTCCCGTCATGCGCTTCCTTTATCCTCGTTTTCGTCAGTCGAGCAATCCGTCTTGCGTCTCGCAGATTTTACGTATAACTCCGCGAATTCATCATCGGCCGCGTACCGGTCCGCACTTAAACGCATCACGCGGATAAGCGACAAATAATTAAGGCCATAGGTGCTATAAAGCGTCAGGGAGAATCCACGAATCTAACGTCTCCTTGAGAACTCCTCCCCTTTCCCGAAATGTGCGTTCGCGAATTTATCAATCGTCGCGGACCGACCCGAATACGGTAAAAAACAATTAAGGCCATCAATGAAATATGTGGTTTGAAGAAAAAAGTAGAAAATAATACTGGCCCCTTCTCACATAATATTTCACATTGTATTTTGATACAATCCTGTCTTTAGAAGAGGCTAACACTAAGCTCGCGACTCAAGCGTCGGATCGATAATATTATTGCTAATGTCACTAAGTACAATTAACAGTATACTGGCCTCAATATTCTTCTGACTCGGCGAGTCAATTGTATCGACAATTTTTACATGGAACAACTCGAAGGACGGAGAGATGGAGAATGATACGTGGGCATGCGTATCAGTGTGATAAACGCGATGCTCTCTGCAGACGCAATCTAAAATAATCAAGGTCCGGGGACAGGCGGACGTCGCCCTCGGCATCGAAACGCTCCGAATACGTCACTGGACTCGGACGGAGGAAACGAGAAGGAGTCCCAGTTTCCTCGTCACGGAAATCAGATATCGTATGGCAAACGCGGCTTCTTCCTTCTCCGTTGGTTGTTATTATATTATCCGTGTTGGCGACGACCGGTGCGCGGTGGTGCAACCCTTTGTCCAGCCGAGGCGTGACAGGTGCGAGCGCGTGACGTAACGAGGTACCGTTATGTACCTGGACGAATGAAAGAGGCGCGTTGGCGCGCGCCAAGGCGAAACCCCATAAGAATGCCGGACGATGTGACGGGCGGGCGCACCATGGGACTATCGTCGGACGCGAAATTCTGTCCCCCTGCTCGTGAAAGTGACATGGAGGAAAGGATGTGAAGGTAAAAAAGGATGGCCCGAGCATGTTAATGGTCACATCGTTCCACTTATCGATGGAAAGTTAATCGTACAACGTATGGCGTTTTCGAGGAAACCAGAAAGTGCACTCGATCGAATCTCGCTCAGTCTGACAAACAATTTCTTATCATCGCGATATTTTCCTTTAACGGCTTATCAGGTTAGATTTCAATAAAGCATTGGACATAATTAAGCGAGAATCGACATCATTTTATATTGGGTTAAAACTATTGATTGATAAGAAGAAACTGGGTTGAACGACTAATTAGAAGATCCAGAAGAGTTTCTTATACCGGAAGGGAGGAAAATATATGAAATCAACACTTCATCATACGTTATACGATCTGATTAGCAACTTGTAACACAACAGTCCAGGCCAGGTGGGTCTCAGGCAGACGTTTCAAACTTTTCTTTTATGTTAGAGCGTTTCTGTCTTCAGCGGTTTCCTGCTAGGACGAAGCAGAAAGCGAGAAATTAAGGCGTCGTCGACGTCGCGCTGCGCCGCGCCGCCGCATCGTCGCGGAAAATTGATCTCACGTG